TTATTTTAGTGGAGAGGTAATTATCAAAAATTCGTGAAAATCCTTCACTATACCTTAAAAATGACTTTGAACCATAAACAATAACAAAGCATAACTGGGCTTCCATATGAATGCTGCTTTTGCTGAGTGGTCAGTGGGAATCTGTTGACTCAGTGCTCTGTGCTCATCCACACAGAATAAGGTGTGAAACAGCTGGAAAAGTTCTCATACGCTTTTGCAACATTTTATCTGCAAAGCTACAATTCTTTCATGAGCTAAAACCAACAGTAAAACTGAACCTGGTGTGGTGAGATGGAGAGAAAGTGGGAGATAAAAAAACCCAAGATAATGAATAGTGGCAATGATTCATAGAGCGAGGTGGAGCTTTAAAGGAGCTCTGCTCTGTGTGGAAGCTGTTTGATAGCTCTTGTCTTTATTAGCAGCACAAGTATCCAGCACTGTTTGCCCAGTTCTTTGAAATTCATATTTCTGATTATCAATTAGTGAGAAAACAGCATTAAACTGGTTTCAAGGAGCTCAAAATTATTTTTCTTTTTTTTTTTTTTTTTTAGATTTGCAGAATTTCCAATAATTTAATTCTAGTGGTTTATTCTAAAACATGCTCAATGAAAGGTGAGTTTGAATTTCTTTGGAAGGTCAGGATTTTGGTGTCCCCCATATTTAAAGAAAAAATGTGATTAATGAGATTAAACCATAACTGCAACCTAGCTGTCATCTACATTTAAAGAAGTCTCAAACATAATTTTTTAATGTGTGTTATTAGGGGAGATCCTACACTGGTGAAGACTAATGTTGCAATCACAACAGGCTACCTCATATCAGGTAAAGGAAACATTTAGTTTACCTCCATAGTTTTCCATTTAAATGGATTATCACGATTACATGCTTTTTTTGTGTTTTTATTTTTCAGATCTGCTGCTTATATTTTACTATTGGAAGGCGATAGGGGACAAGTTTTTTGTAGTTCACCATCTGGCAGCACTGTATGCTTACTACTATGTACTGGTGAGTGCCCTATTGTCCAATAGCAGAATATGCAGGCAAGATGGGAAGGAGACAACCAAGGGTGAACAGCTGTTTTCCCCCCTTTTAACTGGTCGGGTTAGTTGGTACCGTCAACATTTTCCCCTTACAGCAGTGTTTATTATACCTGATTAGAGCGATTTTATAATGTATGCTAATCTCAAGCTGTGTTGCATGAAAAACTTTTACAATGGCTTCAACTGCAATGGGGAATGATTATAGTTGGTCAGCGTTTGGCTATTTGAGATGACGTATTCTGTCATTTCTGCAGTTTAATCATCAGAGGACTGCTAGGAATCAGTCCAAACCGTTTCTTTCCTAGAGCTGCTCTCCTAACAAAGTTTTTTTTTTTTTTTAAAGAGATGATCTCTAGTTTAAATTTGTCCCCTTTTCTTTAATGACGGCGTATATATTTATGTTGGGTTTGGCTGCCCTGCTGTTCACTCTTGGTTCAGTCCGAAACCCTCTAGGTCGACATGGTCTGGTGCATAATTACAGGAAACGGATGACTATGGTAATTTTTGCATGGAATGCTCCGTGATGTTACTGGCTGATGGACCCCCCCCTCCTTCCTTCTCACTGCCTTTCCAATCTCTGTGCTCCTCTGTTTTGTTTTACTGACCCCTTCTGGCAGTTCTGATGTCAGATGACCCCCCACCCGAGCTTCAAACCATAGAAGGCTGATCTGTACTCACTGTGTGCATGCTTATAGCACTGAACATACCACGCAGGCAGGGTCCCTTTTCTTGTTACTGTGCATGCCAATCACAGCATATTTAACTTTCTGACTCACCTGCTAATGTACAGTACCTTATGCCTGTCTGTTTTCTGTGCCAGAGTCCAGTTCAGCTTTCTGCTTCCTCACTTTTTTTATTTATTACCTATTTATCTCTTTTTCTATAATGGTTAATGGATGATGCAGGTTTAAGATGATTCCTAGAACAGATCGATTTGCTCCAATACAAGGCAAAAACATTCTAGACAAACGGCGTTCATTGTTTTGCCTTTTGAGTCTTGACACAACTTTTAAATCTAAATATATTCCCTATGTTGCTTTGTATGGTCTTAGCTGATTAATTTAAAGCTGTGGTGAACAGCTGGATTATAAAAATCCCCATAAAGCTTAAATTATAAAACAAAATCTTAACTCAAATCTCTTTTCATTTTAATAATTTGCTTTTTTTTGCACTTTTTTTCTAATTTAGTGTAACTGGCATTAAAGCACATCTCAATAATAAACGCCTTGATAATAAGGCTGATATTCCTGTGCAGAAAGAAAGCAAGCACTTGTATTAAAAGTACACAGCTGTGGCATGTAGGAGGCCATACTGTCACTGGACACTCATCACTGTCTTTTTGGGCGACATCTAAACTGCAGAGGGAAGGTTTTTTATATTTGGTAACTCCAAAAATAGAAGGCCGAGAGCCTTTTTGAGCTGTAGTTTTCTATGTCATTCATATTTGATTTAATTGTGTTCTCAGTCACGTTGTCTCAGTCTCATTAGTCAATCTGTTAATTGTGTTCATGTTGTTCACGTCAGATGAAGTTAGAATGTTTATATAGCCCAAGTTATTTAACAGATTTCTCTAGCTTAGTGCATCTTTCTAAGGGATCTAGTTGCTTTGTTTTTATTATCAGTCCCAAACAGCTTGATCTAAATTTAAGACACTGATAGTTTAACCATAGCCCAATCTGTGTTTTGTGTGTGTATTTTTATTTATTTTTTTAAATAAACTAGTCATTAATTTATCTACATTAAATGCATGCTCTCTTCAGTGTCGTGTTCCTTCTTTGCTTCCAATCGGCTTTTCTTTTTTTTTTCCTTCTGATATATCTGTCTGTCTCTATGTCCTTTGCTGACTTTAACAAGAGAGGCCCCTCTTTAAAACTCACATATTCAGGTGTGTCATCTTTTGTTCATGCAAAAACTACCAGGGGGTTCTTTTTGTCGCTTCGTAAGCACAGAGCAGGCCACGATCTAGATGGGGACTTTCTTTATTCCTGTCTTGTCTGCTGTTATTGCTGTTGTGTTGTACTGAGCAGAATGATGCCCAGTCACAGTATGGACTTACCAGTTCCTAGGGGTACTAGCATGCTCATGCTAGTTGGGTGACCTTAAACGATGCATTACAATACAATACTCGTAACTCCTTGTAAGTATGTTTCAATCATCAAGTTCTGTTTCAGCTACGATGGTAAGTATATGATCACACAGGTTACAGGGCCTTGTTAAAGTATTCCTACCCTTTGGATTTGTTTGCCTTTGTGACGTTACAAAAACAAACTCTAGAATATTTCCTTTGGATTTTATTTGGAGAGAAATATATATATTAGCATCATTTCTTTAGGTATTCTAAATGCAGATCAAATGATGGCAGCATAAGACTTTTTTCAAGACTTTTTGAAAGTCTTGAAGAGCAAGCAGTCATCCAAAAATACAAAAAGGATAGCAAAGCAAGACTTGGACTTAAACCTACACTTGGACAACTTTTGTTTTATTGAAAGTTAGTTTTGTATCAAGATGTGGTTGCTTATTCTTATTTACTGGTAAGTAAATATAAAGGACTGTGGTGTGTCTGGAGGAGCTGCAGAGATCCACAGCTCCATGCAAAGTTTCACAAATTAATCCTTCATGGCAGAGTGGCAAGAAAAACTTGTTTAAAGAGTCAGAAAAGATCTTTTAAGGAAATTTCTCATTTATGCTGCAGGGATTAGAATAATATTTTTATATACTATGTAGGGAAAAAATATTTTATATCTTTATTATTGTTATTATGTTTTAATTCTGTTATTAAAATGTAATGTTTCATTTACTTCTAATGTTTAAAAAAGAAAAACAGTAAAATAGATGGGGTTTTTTTGGGGGGGGGGCTTAGATTTTGCTGTCAAAATTTTTTTTTTTTTTTGGGGTTTTTTTGGGGGGGGGGCTTAGATTTTGCTGTCGGACCCAATTTTGACTCTATTTGTTTAGATTAGAGTAGATTTATTTGTTAAATTGGCCCAACCAAAGTCCAAACCTTTTATCCAATGAAAGACTTTAAAATCCTTCTGCATTTGGAGATACTGTATTTTACATTTTAGTAACAGGTTAAGTCCTTATATGTGGAAATCTTTTGGAGACCAACCCCCAAAAGGTGGCTCTAATTACTCCGACCAGCCAAGTTCACAGGAAAGCCACAACTGACAGATTTTTAAATGGTAAAAATGTGCAATAATATAGTTTGAATAAAATATCTTAAAGTTTTTGGTTGTAATGTAAGTTAATGTCAAAAGGGTATGAATACTTTTGCAGTGTGGTGTAAAAGTCAAAGCTGCTTGCGAGGTGACCTTAATATATTTGTGAGTTTTTTTTATGTTTTAACTGTCCAGTGTGTATTTTACATTTAGGTCCACTTAAACTTAAGGTCTCAGTTGGAGGAGTCAGGGCTTCTTGCTGCAGATGCTGTTCACTAATCCACATTATTCAACTAGAACTTACAATTAATTTATTCAAAATGGTGCAATGTTAACACCATTATTTCAATATAAGGGATTCAAACCATATAGCTAGTAGCATGGTAATGATTGGCCTGTAAGTATAATGCTGTTTACTCTGCATGGCTTTTGATTGCTCCCTCACCAGTGGCTGGCTTATTGTAATATCTATGTAACAGATGCCCATCATCTCCTGTTTTAATATCTTTTTATTGTCGTATTTTTTGGGTTTGATTTGTGCATATGAAATACAAGCTGTATGATATGTAGTTACTGATTTATTACCTCACTGTGTGCAAAAATGCACCGTTTTGTGTTGGCATCCCTGTATCTTGCCTCTTGTTTTTACAGGTTTTTCAAAAGGTACATGATCACAATGATTTGCTGATTGTGATCTTTGGAAACCCTGTGTGAGGGAAGGAATTTTATTGCCTCTATAGAAGTGATGCCAAGGTTGTCTGGTGAATCGGCCCTTCGTGTCTTAAGGCCAGAACACACCGGTTGTGTACGAATTTAATCTCCGATCTAAATGTTTTTTTTTTCTTTCCATGTCACACTGACTGCGTATAGGGAGGCTACGACTAGGCAGGGTGAGCAGATCTGAGCAGATATTTTTCACTTCTGTCTCTGCTATACACAAATTAAAACTATTTTCCACATTTGACTTGGATTATTAAAAGTTATTAAAAGAAAACAAAAACACCAGCGTATTCTTAAAGCAAAGAGAGCCATTGCAGCATCTCAAGTCAAAACAGATGAAGTACTCATATGCCTGTATTAAAAAAAATTAGATCTACATGTAAAGAAAAGAAAATCGAAGCAATAAATGCCATGGGATGGTTTAAATTCTGACTAAGGCAGTGAGAGTTGATTCTCAGAGAGAGATCAGTGAAGTTTGTTGAAGTTTCACTTTCAATATTTTAATAGGGGTAAGAGAAACGCTGCGCTTACCAGCTTTGTCTTCCCCTCATTATTTTGTTCTTTGTAAGGCTCAAAGAGATCACTATTTTACCTTTTTTATTCACCTCCTGAAGTTATTTTTTTTTCCTCGAAGATTGACAAACTGCACTTTCTTTCCCTCATTGTTTTTGCAAAGCTCATAGAGGATCACTTTTTTTTTTATCAGTTTCTGTCCTCCTGAACTGCCATTGTGGGTAAAGTTATAAATTTTTTTTAAGTGTTATTGACTGTTTTTGCTAGAGTCTGTCCTGCTTACTATATGCGATTTGCGACTCCAAAACTCACTCTGTGTCCGTGTGATTAGCTGATTTTAATTTGTATTTTCCCCCAAATTGGTTTTATTTTGTAACTGTGTCTCTCTTCCTGGCAGACCCATGAAATTGCAGCTGAATTGCTGCAGAGTCTGACTAAAATAGACTTGTGGTCTATCTCAGTCGGACCTACCGTACTTAAGCTCACTTGGATAAAATCGTGTTGGGTGTGATCATCCCCATTGTCTTTCAATGAGCGCTAAACACCACCACCTCGTCCAACACGATTTTCTGTCAGATCGGATTCGGTGTGTTCTGGCCTTTAGTTCTGTTTGACATTTATATTTGTAGAGGCTGTCTTTGCACAACTTTTCCAGCTGACTAATATTTAGTTGAATTGGCTTAAACCTGGCTTATATTTAGTTAATAGGATGTCATGATGAATAGGTAAGGTTTACTTACCTCTTTGCTATCATGTTTATGTTCTGTACACCTAGGAGTATTTTTTTATTTTCATTAAATTAAGAACTTTTATAAATGAGAATTAGAAATGGAAAACTGTTAGGTCTTTTATATGGATCTATATTGGATGAAATTTTTAGCACAGAAGTCCCTTGCAGCAGCAGTTTTGGTTCTTTTTTTCCCCATCTACCTTATGGAAATTGAAATTTGTACATTTGTTGAAATTGGTTCTTTCCTGAGGAGTTTAGCTGGTGCTCTCCTTTGATGGTGAGATAAGTGGTATTTGTATGGAAGAAGTCATTCATGGGCTTCAAGGCAACGGACCAAAGTGACTCAATGTTTCAGTGTTTGTCGCTTTCATGTTTTATCTTCTTGTGCCTACCTTGTTTTTCCAGGGCGAAGGAATGTTGCCTTATTTTGCTAACTTCCGTCTGCTTGCTGAGTTTTCCACACCATGTGTGAACCAGCGGTATGTACTTGCTTACTTTTAATCATCGTTTCTTAGGCCACTGCATCTCTCAAATCTTTATATGAGGTATTATTTTTGGAACACAGAACAGACTTTAGAGGCTTTTACTGTTTTTTCTTGTTTTTTTTGTTGTTTTTTTTATGCTTTAAGTATTGACATTAAAAAAATGCCATTCCCTAATAATCTAAAGAGATTGTTCTGTTCCTAATATATTCATTTATATTTTCTAACTCTTGCCAAGTGGAATTCAGCTCAATTAAAAGTGGTTGTATTAATATCTAAACAAAATGCATGAACTTTTTCTATTATAAATGTTGTCTTTACCTCATTAGCAAACAACTGAAATTCAGGCTCGGCAGAAAATCTCCAACTTCATCAATCTTTAAAGATAAAACAAGTTTGCTGAATTGTTAGAAATAAAGCAACACTCCAAGAACCCCTGTAGTGACAAATAGCTTATTTATACTGTGTACTGACCTCTATGTACGATGCTCAAAGGTTTCCCTTGGACTCCAGTCTAAATGGAAATGACTCCCAATGATTATAAGTATTTAGATTACTTGGATATATGCATGTTATCATTCGGGATTTTTTTTTTTTTTTATAAAAGAAATGCATTTATGCATTTTAAATTAATCAACTAGGATTTTGTGTTTGATTTCCAATCTTTGGTACTTTTAAAGCTTTGACCTGTCAGTTTGATATAATTCTGATTTCTATCGAAGTTGTAAGATTTCAAGAGGTATAAGAACAGTTCTGTTTTTCCTTTTTTATTTCCTCATATTAGGTAAAAGATAATCTTATCTTCTCATTCAAAGAGTAGTTTTATTTATGAGCTTCTATATTAGAAAACAAACATTCCTATACCTAAATTACGGTTATTCTGCTTTTGGTTTTACTTTAGGTGCAGAATAATTCAACTAGACTTATAGGCAGGAAAAATAACCACAATTTTATCTGAGATTTCAATTTGTACTTTTGTTCCCATTAAATAGTAGCTCTTAAAATACCCCTCACCCCTTTACATCACATATTTTATTAGGTTTTCATGTAGCAACACATGATATGACCCCAACTATATAATCTACAGTTCAATTGACAGCTTTGTACAACAGCGTAAATGTCCTGTTCCCTCAAATTAGCTCAATAGACAGTAAATAATGTTGAGAACTCTTGCGACAAAAGTGAGTACACCATGAAGAAAAAATACTACTGATATTGCAAATATATCGTGTCCACCAAAAAAATATCTGCCTTGTTAACGAAGCTCACTAGAACTTTACAGGTTACTCTTGTAGTTATCTTAAGCTGTACTTATGCAACTCCAAATCTGGTTGCTGTATCACAAGCTTGAGACCAATTAAGCCAGATGATGCAACAACATCATGATATGATGCTGAGCATGCTGAGACCTTACAACACTAAAGCTTTTTATGTACTCTGCAAGAGTACGTAACGAGTAGAAACGATTTCTGCCTTTAGTTCAGTGTATTCTGTCAGGGTCGCTGTGTGGCCGCTGCCTCTCTGCCAGTCTATGGGCGTAAGGCGGGGTACTCCGACGTATCTGCTCTTCTCCTCCTTATTCTGTAAAAACGCCTCCTCTTCAATTATGCTGCTTTTGATTTCATAAATTTAACAGCTTAGCTTCTCACAAAGCATAAATACTCCGAGGCAACACAAACTTATATCTTGTTCTTTCCAGATTGTGGAAAAAGAACAAATTTCTCATTTTTTGATGATTATTCAAGAAGCCTAAGAGTCTCATCAAACCAGAGAGAATAAATGGCTGATTAGGAACAATGTTGATGTTTTCACCTGAGAATTTCCTCTGGGATTAAGTTTTAATGGCTCTATTCGAGTTTATCTGAGGGGACAGGCCATGTACTCTAGGATAGGATCTCCCCATTGAATACTTAAAATTTTGACCTATTCAACTTTAATTGGTGTATAATAAAAGCCACATAAACACTTAATCAAGTGAACTCTGCTTAGCCATTATATTATCAAATAATTATTTAACTGAGAGGGATGTACTAACCTTCATAATTTTTATTTTTTTTTTAAACCTCTTGAACTCCCATATTTTAAATTTTGACATTGATATATTTTTGATTCGTTTTATTGTTTGCGTTGATCTGATCAAAGTTTATCTTTAAGGTATTTTGTAATATGTATTAGAATAACATTAACTTAGATTATTTAATGGCTACATTTTCTTATGAAATAAAATGGTTAAAATCATTTGTCTTTGGAGTATAATGATGGGATTTACCTGCATATGTGATCTCATTACTGTGGAATTTTAGTTCATCAGTAGATTCAAACTTTATTATGATAAATGTACAAATTTCAATTATACTGGCTGATGTATCACAGAGAAACTAATAAAAAAAACAAATGTTTTTTCATTTTTATTCATACACCTGCTTCACTAACCTTAAAACACATGTTAATGTATTTATGGGATATTTGTTTTCTTTTGCAGATGCATTTTGTAGAGTAACTTTTAAAAAGTAGCCTTGTTTAGTTCAATGTTTTAGTATTTACATTTGCCTGCCCTGTTCAATCAGTGTTCTCACAAAAATATGTTTCATTTCAGTTGGTTCTTTGAGGTACTAGGATATCCCAAGTCATCCCGGCCAAATATGGCAAATGGCGTTGCCATGGCAGTTGTCTTTTTCATGGTCCGCATCGCAGTCATGCCGGTCTACTACGGTCGTATGTACGCAGTGTACGGCACAGAGGCCTTCTACCTGGTGCCCTGGGGGGGGCGTCTCGCCTGGATCTGCTCCAGTATTTGTCTGGACGTAATGAACATCATGTGGATGCATAAGATTGCGCGCGGCTGCTATAAGGTGCTGCGATCGGCTCAGGAGAGCAAAGCTCCAGCTCCTCAGGAGAACGGGAAGACGGACTAATGTCGGATGTCAGCGGTGTGACACAAACTGTGACAAGAGACCATTCTCTCAGTGCACTGCCAGTAGCAGTTTGGACCCTCAGGTTGCTACCATGGCAGCAGAGCAGGATTAAACCCTGCAGGACCGAATGTAATGAGGACATTTTCTTTTTTTTTTGTTTCTTTTGTTTTTTTTTGTGGAAAAGCAGAGTCTCTAAGATTTACTAATGGACCAGTGAAGTGGTCGCACCCAAGCCATGATGAGACTTTCAAGCAATACTTTCTGTGCATGGCCAATTTGTTTTGCATGAAAGATTCACAAACGGAGAACAGATCCTTGCTGAACAAAAGGACTGTTAGCCCGACAACAAATTGTCAAAAAAGTTTACCTTTTTTTAATGCTTATTGCTCAACAGAACATTTAGTTTTGTTGTATTACTGCTGATGAAGCAGAAGAGGGAAAATGGAGAAATGTGAGTCAACAATGATGGTCGTTGCCATTGGTTTGTTGCCAGCAAACCGTCGAACAAGATTAGGATGCTTAGTGAATGAGCTACGTTCACATAGAGGGGTAGGTATGCATCTCATCTCATCTCGGTAACCTTGGCATGAGTATCAAACCAAGAAGCTCGGTTGAACGGGCGTCAGTACTTTGGTTGTGTATGTTTTTGTTTGTTTTGTCTTGCTGGTGCCAGGGCAAATTAGTTTTATAAAAAGGATTACCTTAACCAATATGTCAAAGATAAATGATTTGTAAAGCACTTTGGGTAATGCTAAAAGGGAAACTTCAAAGTGGAAGGTTGTTTGCACTGATGTCAATTCAGGATGGGAAAAAAAAATACAGAGCCCCCACTGATCTTAGCTAAATGATGCATGGAAAGCACCAGATTTTATTCAAGTTAATATTGCACTGCCTAAATAAAGTTTTTAAAATTAAAAACCTTATGATAAAATGTAGATTTGTTGAGGGTTCTGGCATCGTTCTGTCTGCCCTGTTTTGATAACAAGAGTCCTACAGTTTTGTACTTTATCACTTTCAGACACAAACTTGATTTTACCATATAGCAACATTTAAAAATGACAAAGGATTTTTTTTTTTTTTTTATGGAATTAAAAATTTAGTAAATCATCTGACCTTAACACCATTTTATTTGCAAAGAAGACATTGCTCATCGGTGTTTCATACAGTAGCTTTAAAAAGTTTTGGACCCACAGAACGTCTGCTTTGAGTCATCTTTAATTCATACTAGGAGAGGAAACAAATACTTATTTTTTGTTTGTTCTTTTGAACTGATTCAGGATTATTTCATTTTTAACGCACAGATATACAGAAAGCTCATAAAGATTTATTGGTTAAACTGGTTTGATGGTTGTAATTTGCCCAAATAAAAAAAAGAATTGGAATATTTCTGAGACGGATTTCAGCCCAATCAAGTTTTTCAGTACTTGAATTTCCATGAGCTGTACAGTAAAAGAAAAGCTCTTATTAGATTTGTAGTTAAACAAAAATAAGGATTGTAAACTTTTAAGTATGCCTTGCTGTCCTCAGTGTTGGATTTCTTTTTACCTTTTCAGAACAAACTATGGTTGAACAGTGGCTGTTTTCGGACGTTAAAAATTACAAAAACGTTTTTTGTTGTTTTTGATTAAAACTGTGTTCCTTCCAAGTCTATTGCCCTTCTAATGTGATATCTGCCTTTACTGTTCTGTACTTTTTTCAACACCAGCTATAAGTGGCAGGGCTTCTGTTTGATTAATTTTCTTCCTTTCTTCTTACTCTTTAATTTTTTTTTTTTTATTTGTGTGGAGTTTGTTTCTTATGTTCCCTTTGAAATTTTAGTTTTTTCTCTCTGCATGATGTGACCTATTGTGGTATGTAAACCATCAGATTTATTTCCTTAATCTCTTTTAATTGGTCATTTTTTCACCAGCGTGAAATGCTTACATGGTTGATTTCTGTCAAAGCGCTCAGAAGGATTTGGCAGTGCTGAATGTGCCGGATGTTGTCTTCAGGTGAATAATCATAAAGAATGTTTTGACTAAAAGTCTTTCACTTGATTCAGTGGAAATGACATCAGGTTGATCTGAATGGAAACAGGGTGAATTCAGTGTGCGAGGTTGTGTATGCTCAACATGGGCGTCTTCATGCACCTTCTGTAACTGCATGTGGCTTTGCATGGGGACTGCATTGTAAACAAATTAGCATATACATTTGTGAAGACCAGTTTTGCTCTTTTAATTTCTCTTACATGTAGATAATGTTTACTTAAACTTTATTCTTGTACTGTGCCACAAAATGTAGTCCACAGAAAATGATGTGATGCTAACATGAACAAGCAGATACTATTATCCAGCACAGAATATACAGTAAGGGAATACTTGAAAATAATCAGCACAGTTTATAAAGATCTGGGCAGTGCAAATGAACACAAATCTTATAAGCATCTTGAATTTTACGTGTTGCATTGTTTTTAAGTTATTATTCCAACAGGTGTTGACGGAATAGGAAGACGATACGATGCATTCGGGACAGGGAAGTCGTTGCTTCTGCCAACTGTGAATTGTTGGTTGTTTCTGTTTTTGATGCCTTTTAAGGAAAGTATCAAGAGTAGTTGGAGTGTTTATGTGACATTCTATGAATGTACTGGTTATAGAAATTTGTCCATCACATTTTCATTTATTCTTGAAAATAAAAACCAAATTAACTCTTGTGTTGTGTGTAGTTAATTTAAATATGCCCTTTTTTTCACAACTTTTGATATATATGTTAAAGGCATAGCCCATCCTTTCCTGACAAAAACTAAAGACAGTCCTTCAAGTTTTATTATTGTGTGCAAAAACAAGTTATTTTCCACTGCCTTTATTGCAACTTGTTTAATGATGACACCTACTATGCACAGCTGTTGGTTTAAGTTATACTTTTTCCTGCTAACTCCTATTTTTATTTTTTTTATTAAATGTGTCGGTACATGTTTTTGCCAAGCTTGTCCATGTCTCTATTGGCTGTCTAAGTCACTAGAGGGCAGCAATGTTCTGTTTCTGTTTCTGTATATTTTTTGTCTAGTTTTACAATTTCTGATGCTCATTGGAAAATCGTTTTAACAGGTAATTTTTCAAAATGAAAAACATTTGTCAAAAAGCTATTTATTATTGCATGTGTGTTTACTTAGATTTTTTTTCAACCAATTTCAAACAGATGAGAAACATCTACAATTATTTAAGCTTTCTCATGATTACTGTGAAAGAGGTAATGCAGATAATAAAAAAAAAATCTTTGTTTTACTTGCACATACTTTTTCTTACTAGTCCTTGTGGAGACATTTGATTTTCCACACAAGACCAACAGATGTGATCAACTTATTATCCACCTGACAGGATTTCAGGTAAACAACCAATGGAATAAAATTAACGTACACGTTCAGATAAAATAAATGGTATCCTTTATGACATACACAGGTGGACAAAATTGTTGGAACCCCTCGTTTGATTAAAGAAAAACCAAAATGATCACATAAGTTGAATCTGACAAGCGTAATTTTTTTTAAAATAGAGTTGGACATTACTTATCAACTATAATGTAAAAGAATATCTAAAATAACAAAAACAAATGAAACTGCCCTGGACAAAAATGAGGGTACCCCTAGCAAAGATGGAAAATGTGACCAAAGGGCATGTCAACTCTAGGTATCTCCACCAGTTAGCATCACAGCTGTCTACAATCTTGTAATCAGTAAGTGTTGCCTATATGAAGGTCTACAGGTAGTCACTTTGCTGTTTGGTGACATGGTCTGTACCACACTCAACATGGACCAGCGGAAGGAAAGGGAAGAGTTGTCTCAAGATATTGGGGAAAAAACAAGTACGTTAAAGAGAAAGGCTGTAAGATCATCTATAATCAGCTTGATGTCCCTATGACTGCAGTTGCAGATATTATTTAGAAATTTAAGATCCATGGGACTGTTGCCAATCTTCCTGTATGTGGCTGCAGGAGGAAAACTGATTACAAATCAAAAAGGCAGATAATTGGTAACAAGCGCTCATAAAAACATCTAAGGGTGAAGTTCCTGCTTAAGGAACATCAGTGTCAGATCGCACCATCCATCATTGAGCCGAAATGGATTCAACGGGAGGCGATCACGGAGGATACCATTGTTGAAAAGAAATAATAAAAAAGCCAGACTGAAATTTATGAGGGGAGAAGGTCCTATGGAAAGCACTGTGCCAAATATGAAACACGGAGGAAGCTATGTTATGCTATGGGACTGCAATGATATCAAAGGGATTCTAGAAAAATGCGTTACCTGGTGTCAGAAAACTTGGTGTATGTCGCAGGTTCTGGGTCTTGAAACAAGATCTTTGGACGGAGCTGAAACAAGTGGTTTAAAAAGTCACCCTTCAAACTTGAGACACTGGAGCAGTTTGCTGATGAGTAGTGAGCCAAATACCTGCTAAAGAGATACAGAGGTCACAGTGACTGTTACAGGAAGTGTTTGATTGCATTGATGTCTCAGAAGGGTGTAGAACAAAATATTGAGTTAAGGGTGCCTCATTTTTGTCCAGTTCAGTTTAGTATCATTCTTTTGAAGCACTTTAACATCAATGTTTGGGTTTAATTAGTTTATTTTCATTGAGCTTTTATTTTAAAGTACTTTTGCCTCATTCAAGTTTTCTCTGTGAGCAATGTGCGCGTTTATTTGATCAAACATGGGGTACCAACAATTTTGTCCACTTGTGTACACATCTGTAGTTATGTACTGGTCCTCTCTTAAGTAAATATTGCTAGAATGGATAACCTGAGATCGTAAGGCTAATTGCAGTATTAGGACTACTGAATAATCATAGACAAAATGGAGCAACATCTAAAGATTTGCCATTTTTTTTCTTTTATCTTCAATTAAAAAATTATACAATTTTGAAGAGACTCCAATAGAGGAAAAACTCCTTATGATTACTGAGAGCAAATTAAACACAGTTAATAGTAACATGGTATTCCAAATATGCTGAAATTATAATAGGGAAGCCTAAAGCATAAATGTAAGTATGAGAATCTTTATGATCCGTACATCCATTTTTCATCACGCTTATTCCAAGTGGGGTCGCGAGGGGTGCTGGTCCCTATCTCCAGCTGTCTACGGGCAAGAGGCGGGGTACAGCCTGGACAGGTCGCCAGTCCATTGCAGGGCAACACAGAGACAACAACCATTCACACACACACTCACAGCTAAGGGGAATTTAGAGAAGCCAATTAACCTAACTGTGGGAGGAAGCCGGAGTACCTGGAGAAAACCCCCCTTGCTCATTGAGAACATGCAAGTGTAGCCATATTCACCCAATTCTACTTAAAAACTGGCACACTTTCATACACCTATATAGATTGGTAGGCTACTTGAGTCTAAGTGGGAAGCTCAAATCAAACCTACAACCTCCTTATTCACAGGTAACTAACTATTCACTGAACTTGTACTAAAGCTTTTAACGAGGTAAGAAACCTGTCAAACTGCATCAAACACCATTTTTTTCATTTTGCAGTCTCTGTATGTTTCCATGGTTAAAATATTGTGAGAGCTGTTTTTAGCATGGTTATAATGTGCTACGTCATGATAATTTTATTTTAAACTATTAGATTTTTTTCCCCTTACTCGTGACCTACATGAAACAAAAACACAAACATATAGGCTTGTATTATTTTTGCAGTCTAAAATGACTACATTTCTTCTTTGATTTGAACATAAATAGAACCAGAACTTCTGCTCAGGAAATCCATCAGGGATTTCCTGGAAAACAGTTTGAGATCCTAAACTAAACATTTGGGGGTTATGCACTGGGACAATGGCACAGCAACAGGCCGACCTCTAAATGCCTGATAAAAAAACACAAGGCTTTGAAGGGCCCTATTAAACGTCTGAAAATGAATCTGCTTGAGATGCTATGATATCAACTAACCTTAATTTAGCTGTTTTTACTCATAATTGTCCGGTATAGATTTATTTTACATAACTTTGCACAGATGTGATTGCTAAAATCCATCCACATTGATAGGAAAGAGTCATCAGCAGTTATGACACCTGTTTGACGCATTTATTGCTGCCTAGATCGGTCCATAAGGTTATTAGGTTTATGGAGCAATTACCCTCTCACATAGGGTCAGGACAGTTATGTTTTCAGTCGGGGTTTAATAAGAACTGAAAATAATTTGAAAACATCTTTTTGTTGTTCTGTAAGCCTCCCTTGTCTGATTATTAAATTTTGTTTTATGATATAAAATGTATCACAAAAATCTAAAAACAAAAATATAAGTTTCTAGATTATTTTTAACTGTCATCTTAGATGAGCTAAAGCTCAACAAGGTTAAACCCATTTGCTGATACTGTCAAATAACACTGATTGTATGAGGGGAACTTCAGTAACTCAGTAACTGAAATACCATCCATTGTAGGGCTGACTTCTCGTGTCTAGATATAATATCCCACTGGCTTTAGGGCCAAAGTGCAGGATAACTATCAGAAATTAAGTTTAATGCCAGTACAGTCTGAACCTCTGCTGATTTAAATCAGTTGGTCCTTCAGGATCCTTTATCTTACTACTGAACTGATCTGCATTTAAGAGCATCCCACATATCTTTTTTTTATGTTTATTGTTTGATTTTATTGGTTTCGCTTTGTCTTTGTTTCCTCATATCTTTTCGACATTTTTTTGTATATATATATATATATATATATATATATATATATATATATATACACACAAAAGCAGAAAATAGACACGTATTTGTACACTACGCACCAGCTTGAGACGTGCAGCATACTACCAATTTATCTGATAAGTTGGTCTAAACTCAGTATCTGCAGGTATAAAAAACTCTATAAATAAACACAGTGATGTCTCAATTTGTTATAGACTTTTACACGGGGTCGTGACATTTTCTGTGAACTTTATTGCTTTCGCAACTCAAAGACAGATGCATGTAGATACAGACTTTATCCTACCATCATGGGGTGATCTATGCCTTCCATCTTCATTACATGACATTCCAAGAAAGTTAGTGCATGACACTGAAATAGTTCAGTCACTATAGAGTAAATACAGGGCACAGTTCCTGTAATTAAAGGCGATAAAGCACATTTCTAATCTTGCTGATAAGAGCAGATAAGACCAAATGGTGCTATTAGACAAAATAAAATCACGTATTTGTGTTAATTATAATCTGAAGTGGTTTTAATAAAACAAATATAACATACAACATAATAATGCTAAAGAAAAAAATAAGATTAAACAATGGGTCCATCAGCAGATGTTCTTTATCTTAAATAAAATAAATAAAACTAAGACCTAAAGTGGACTCAGTAGGCTGGAGTTGGGTTAAAAAGGCAAAGTGCGCATATTTGATCAAGACTTGAGCTGCAATTTATACCATTCAAAATAACAGAAGAGTTTAATGAAGTTACACACGGATAAGGCGGATAAGATAATATAACTACGTCTACTTGCCAACCCCCCTCAAGAAGAGAGCTTTAAAGGAGGTGGCGCTCATTGCTGTCCAAACTCCGACCCAGCTGCGCCTTACCGCTCTCCAAAGACACAATGGACTTCTCCAAAAACGCCACGGAGCGGCCGGAGCCTTTCAAAACAGATATCAAAGGTTTATAAGGTTTTATGAAGTTCTTTTATAGGGATTTAGAGCGCAACAGAAAGTTAATAGTGCAAGTTTTTCTGTTTTAATGTCCAACAGGCAGCGTTCCTAACTGGCTTCAAGGAACCCTGCTGCGTAATGGACCTGGGATCTTCTCAGTGGGGGACACGAGTTATGAGCACTGGTTTGACGGGATGTCCTTGATAACCAGTTTCTCATTTAAGGATGGTTAGTAAGGCAAATAATGTAAAGTATTTTTATTTAAACATCTAATCATCTGGATAAAAAAAAAAACTTTTCTTTCTGAACCTTACAGGAGAAATTACCCATAGAAGTAGATTCCTTAGAGGTGACACCTACAACTCCAACATGGATGCAAACAGAATAATGGTGTCTGAAATGGGGACAATGGCATATCCAGACCCAAGCAAAAACTTTATCTTTAAGTAAGAATGTTTTTTTTTCTTGTCTTTGCTTCATTTACTTTGTTTGTTCTTTTTTTTATCCAATTATGTATTTGTTCTATATCTCTTATACGAGAGTTTTATCCTGATTATTGTCCTTTAATACTATTTTATGCAATGATATGAAAAAAAATTTATTAATAGGAATTTGTATTTTTTATTTTTTTTACATTGTGCTGAACCTTCACACAACTGTAATTCACTTATTTTTCAGGGCGATCACTTTTCTGAACCACACTGTGCCAGACTTTACTGATAATGGCACTAGCAACATCATCAGATATGGAAATGACTATTTTGCCACTGCTGAAACCAACTATATCCGCAAGATAGATCCTGTTACTCTTGAAACCCAAGAAAAGGTAACCCTATAGAGTCCCAGCTACTATGAAAATTGCAACAGGTGAAATGTTTTCTGCACACCTAAAGATTTTTTGGATCATTTAGGTGGACTACCTGAAGTACCTGCCGGTGAACCTGGCCACGTCTCATCCGCACTATGACAAAGAAGGCAATGCCTACAACATTGGAACTTCAATAGCAGAGAAGGGGAAAACCAAATACATACTTTTTAAAGTTCCGAATATTTCAGCCAAAGGTAGGTTGTCAAAATCTTCTTAAATTGCTCGGTCGAAGTATAATAAGATATAATACTAGCCAATACCATATAATTTGATGTTCCTGTGTCAGAACAAGTCTGATATTTGTCTTGCATGATGGTGGTTAATGTTTCGTGTTTAGATCCAATATTGACGAATGTGCAAAAGCATTTCCTCAGTTTCACCTTTTTAAACTGTGAAACCCTGTAACCCTCTTATCATTCCCTGATAAAAATTGTCTCTATTCATGATTCAGAGTGTGGTCAGAATTAGAGGTTATACCTAGGGGCAATCTCTATCTGTTCCGTTTGAATACTCATTTGATATCAACCTCACAATTTCGGCTTATCAGACAGTGAACCTAAGATTTATTTAATGTGTACCAGTTTAATTACTAAAGTTTTGCATCTTGCACAAATACAGGTACCTCTGATAGAGATGCAAGCAGAAAACCCAAATAAATTTAGTACATTTCATTCAGTTGGATAAAATAATTTCTCATGACAAACGTTACATATGCTATGAAAAACAAAATAACTTCTCTTTTAATATGTCTTTATTGTTGAAGTTAACTGGCTTCATTTTATTAAAGTCTTGTCAAGTCAAAGTTTTTTTTTCTATGGCAAATTTTAAAACGGCTTTTGCTGACCAAGGTATCAAATCCCCAGAAGCATAAAGGGTTAAATATATCATACAATAAAACAACATAACAATAACATTTTTTAAGTTAGATTAAATAAAAAAAATCATAAAAATATGATTACTTAATAAAACCTTAATTACTTTTGATCCAAGGGAACTAAAATCCTGGGTGTTTGAACAGATTTTTAATACACATAAAACAATGAACTGTCTATGTAACTCTAATGTCCTAAAGTAGGTTGCTCCATAGATTAGCTGCCACCACTGGCACTTTCTATCTTCTACTTTTGACCTAAAATCTAGAAATGTTGAACCACCATTAGACTCTTAAACTCTGGATATACTCTAAAGGTCTAATAGTTCAGATAAATATGGTGGCGCCATGCCACTAAGTGTCAAAGACAAGTAATAAAACCATAATGAGAATTTCATTTTCTAAAGTAACCATTTAGAAAAAATCACTTAGTGGAGCCCTGAGGTAAACCACAGGTCTAAGCAAAAAGAGAAAAAATAAACTTGTTTTCTAAACTGTCAGAAATACGCCACATCCATGACTTGTACCAGCTGCTGAGACATAAGATATGGCTATTTTACTTGTAAAAAAATCAAGTCAAGATAAACTCTCAAGAGAGCTGTCTCTATGCTTTGAAGTAATCAAACCATCCGTCCATCCGAATTGTTGCTCCTATGGCCTGTTTAGCTCTTATTCCTCCACGTTTCATGGTCTCAAAGGTGAGAGCACTATCAAAGAAAGGAGAGGACCTTCAGATTGATGTGCTGAATACAGACAGCCCTCAGCCTACCAGACATCATTAAGTGATGAAAACATCTGAAGCTCTCCATTATAAAACATATGAAGATGCATACAGTAGCAATTTTCTCACACAATATACATCTTGAAAAAAATTATTTTTGTTCAACTCTGTAAGGTGGGCTGTGCTTACATGCCCTGTCCTCCAAAGGGCTGTGGGAATCCACGTAGCTTCAATGCAGCAGATAAGAACATCAGAGGGTTCCTATGCTGAATGCATCCTGCTTCCTCTTCCTACCTCCTTCCTTTCTGCCAGCACTATTGGAACAGCACCTATCACGAAGACTGCTGCTACACTTTGCTGTCTTGACTAAACCACAGATTAAAGTAATCCCCCACAACTATTTAACTCAAGAATAGATACCTGTTTATACAAGGCCTTTTAGAACAGTTTAGGTAAAAAAGGAGCTTTAATATACATCTAAAAATGAAAGAAAAACTGAAATAGCTTAGTCTTTATTATAACAAGCTATACAATTTGGAAGTTTGAGGCAGTTGGGTCACAGCTACACATCCGTGAGAAGCTTAATATATTAAAATACAGCGACTGCATTAAAAACAAAATCTTGAAAAATACCTGATTGGCTTCATTCAGTTGGGCATAAAGAAAGCTGCACATGAAATATTATTTCATTCAGCGAAGAGAAAGAAATTTGGTTTAATCTGTTAACACAACCCAGCATAGAGGTAAGGTATGTGGCTCTATCGTGAAATTGAAGGCATGGAACCAATGTTAGTAACCTTTTCTTTAATGGAATATCCTGCATAGATTAAGATATAATACAGGACGACTCACAAGGATTTATTGCATAATTGAAAGAATCGAGGAGGAATTAAAAAGATATAACCTTTTACGGTGCATTTCTGAGACTCGTCCTCAGATCATCTAGAAAAAAAATTGAAGGTAGGTTTCCATTTCTACACAGCTTGTCTGCACACATGTCTGAGAACGCGATCTATCTCATTGCACAATGATTAAGTTATTAGTCTTGAGCGATTTCTTTGATAAGAGCCCTGTTTCAGCTGAAGTTGAGTTTGTTAAAAATGAACACTCCTCTGTACTGAGACTGTAATGAAACTATGAATTGCTAAGCACAGAGTAAATAAAAGCAGAAGAAAACAGAGCACATGGCAGACATTAATGATTGACGTGATTACGCAACAGTTCATCCAACATACATTACAGATATCAGTGATGAAACCTTTAAACCGAAGGAGAGAACGAGGTCTGTGCATGCCCTTTAGTGCGCGTCGGGACTCTGACAGGCTGATAAAAGTAATCAATAACATTAACTTTAGAATGTAAATACGCCGACCCAGAAACCTATTTCTCTCAGCCACTTTTTAAAACTAGAAAAGACAAATCCTTTCTAGTTTTTTTTTTGTTGTTGTTTTTTTTAAACAGAGTTCTGAGATAATTTGTTTTTCTTGGTAAAAAGTACATCAACAATACAACTGTTGTCAGTTCAAATGTCAAAATCAGTCAGAGTATAAAGGTTTATTTGTGCCGAAAGTACAAATTTATGGAGAGTTAGGGAGATTTAGGGAGACACAGAATGCTAAATGTGTGTTTTTAAGTGCTGCATGCCCTCACAAGGTTCTCCTTTCATGCAATCGGCACTGCAAGACAGCATCGATTGCATGAAGGTGGATTCCATTTAAATAGAGCCTTTTTAAGCTGTTTGGTTACAAGGTTCTTTCCAAAAATTCAAGGAAGAAAAACCATGCAAATAGCTTGAGTTATGATTTTTTTTTTTTTTTCTTTATTCTTGTTTAGGTATTCTCAGGCACTGCCTAAATATGTATCTGAAAAACAGTCTTAATTTTTTTTTAAATACAGTTTACAGACTATATAGGAAAGATAACTTAGAAGGAATGGTTCTATTCGAAACCTTGTTTTTCAAATTTATGACGTACAATACCCAGCCGCTGGCAGTGGAAGCTGACTGGACCAAAGTTATGAAAATCATGGCCAATTCCAATGCTGATTTGGAACATTTATTATTTAGTCTAAGCTATAAAATCACATTTATACATTTTATACAGTAGCCCAACAAGGCCCTGTTTTTGTTTTGAAAACATGTATAAAACCTCGAACTCAATACTATTCCTGACATTTTGAATTGAAAAAGCTTCCTGGATGGGAAGTGAAACGTCTTCGAAATTTGGAAACCAAGTCCAGTGGATTGTTTTAAATTTTTTATTTATTTTTTTGTTTGCAATGACCCATGTTAATATATCAACAATATCAACAAAAGTCAGGATCTTGCAAAAACAAAGTTGTGATCCATCAAACTGTTTGTTTCTCACCATGTTCTAAATGGGGCTCAGCATAAAGTGATCTATTGTTAGTAAAAACAATTATAAAATACTTTTGGAAAGTACATAAATGAAAACAGGCCTTATGAATGAAGCATTGTTTTCTGGTAAAAATTTAACCCCTTACAAAAACTAATACAAAAATAATAATACAATTCATTGAGCGCTTCATTTACCTTGCCTACTACTATCAGTCTATGAAAATAGTGTTACATTAAGACATGTACTCTGACAGGCTGAGTGAGATAAAAAGAATCAATAACATTTGAGACAATTGAGGAAACACACAATACTATCATACACTCTCTATCATAAAGGGTGCCTTTAAAATGAGTGCCTCACTAGCAATCTATAAGCCACACTGGATATGTTAAGAAGGGTTAATATTTAGTACATTTGTATTTTGGGGCTCATTCTGAATAATATTTCTTTGAAAGAAAAATAGTCTTTCTCAGGACAAAAGTGGGATACTGCTATCAATTAAAAGTAAATAAAGGGGTCATATATCTATGCATATATATTACATGATAAATATGCAATAAATTGGTCTTAATGAATCAATAAATCAAGTAAATAGCTCAGGGTGATAACTGAACTCTAACCCAGATCAAATCCATTAAAATGTTTACTTCCTAATTGTCATGATTGATTTAAGCGATCTGACCCACTTGCAGAGAACCACTCAGAGACCAAGGGAAAAACTTTAACAGGTTTATTAAATGTAGATGAATCACAGAAGTTGGCTCTGGAACTCAGTGGAACAGTGAACCGGAGCTGGAAAGTCTGAAGGGGATATCACAGTGATCAGCTCAGGTTTCATAGGAAATTTGACTGAGGCTTGAATATTACTAGAGAGGGACTCACGTTTGAGTGGGCTCTTGTCATCCTTGAATCCGGCTTGTGGGGCTTTATCCAGAGAAGAGGGAACTCGTTGGAGGGCGGACAGATAGACAAGCGTTGGACCCAGAGGAGTTAATGAGCGGACTGGCCCTGGATTTCCGAAGAGGATTTGAACGGATCATGTGGAGGTTTTCCCCTGCTCAGTTTGTTCTCAGTTAATCCTTCCAGGGGGAGAAGGTCCAGGTATCCAGTTACTCAGGAAGGCTTCCTGCCGAAGAGCAAAGACAAAAACTAGATAAGACTCAGAGTACAAAGCTTAGGTTAGACTCTGCTAATCTCAGCTTGGCTAGAGTACCCAAAACTGGCAAACCCTCTGGTGTCGAGGTAATGACAGCCCACTGCTCAAATGCTCCTCCAGTGATGATCCAACAAGCCGCAGGTGTGCAGGGAGGCCCAGCGAGGGAAAGGCACCACCTGGTGGTAGAGAGAGAAAAACAGACAAACAACCCACACAAACTGAATTCCTAACACTAATAGAATGGCATAATAATTTCAATGAACTCAGTTTGTCTCCTTTGTTACCTACAGTTCCTGAAAGTTTTTACCACTTTTCAGAGAAAGGCAAGACTGTTCCTGCTCTGAAGAAGTTGGAGGTGATTTCTACTATTCCCTGCCGGTCTCTTCTCTCCCCGAGCTACTGCCACAGCATTGGCTTCACAGACAATTACATCATCTTCGTTGAGCAGCCTTTCAAATTGGACATTCTCAAGATGGCCACAGCCTACATGAGGAAAGTGAACTGGGCGAGCTGCATGAAGTTCTGCCCTGATGAAAATGTAAGGATTTAAAGCAGATTTATCGGCTGCAGGAGGGGATAAGTGTGATTTCCTTAATGTCTTATTTGTGCTTTAGACTCTGATCCACCTGATTGACAGAAGAACCGGCAAACAGGTCGACGTGAAGTACTACACCCAATCGATGGTCATTTATCATCACGTGAACGCCTTTGAGGATGAAGGTCACGTCGTCTTTGACGTCATCGCCTACAACGATGACAAACTATATGATATGTTCTACCTGAAAAACCTGAAAAAGGATGCTGAAACTCCAAGTGAGGTCTACACCCAACCAAGTTTCAGAAGATTTGCTCTTCCTATAACAGCAGAAACCGTAAGACAGAAATAGAGGAAATGTTGAATTTAAGCCCATTTATAAGTGGTTGGGTTTATCATCATCAGATCTGGGTTTTTTTTGTTTTTTTTTCAGGGTGTTGGAGTTGGAGAGAATGTGGTAAAACTTAAATACACTACAGCCACCGCCGTGAAGGAGAAAGAGGGCAAATTCACATGTCATTCAGAGGTGCTCTGCGAAGGTAAAGCCATGCAGTACAGAGCTAAACTATCTGTGTTGCACTCTTGAGGAATGTTATAAGATAAACCATAGTCCCTGCAGAAGAGAAGCACCCCCAAGCAGGACAACCACTTTGTTTACTTCACAGAAATGTATTTATACCAGGACCACCCTCCACAAAAAAAAAAAAAAAAAATTTCTAAAATTTTTTGATATCTATCACATTGAGTCAAAATTATATTTTCTGCTGTGCTATTTTTTTTGCAAAATGTGATAAAGGTCAAAAGGTATGCTTAACTTGGTGAAGCACTTTCAACTGATGCTTGAACTATTTAGAGATGTTTAAAATGTTTCCTAACTAATTAGAAGAGGGTTCTTCCTGATTTTTTCCACCATTTATTCAGTGTTTACATGACCTACTTTTAAATGACAGCCATACTTGGGCTGTTTTTGCTGTTTCGCTTTATTTTGTCTAGCCTTCTCTTTAGATACTGTCTCTTACTCAACAGTCAATTACTTTGTCCCATTTTGTCTACTTAGAAATTTGATGATGCTTTCTCCTTCTGTTTTGCTTTAACTATCTATTTTTTCAACCTTAAACCACTTCTTATCGCTTCATATATGCAATCATGATAATATTATGTCTATTATTTTAGATTTTGAATTACCCAGGATCAACTACGACTACAACGGAAACAAGTACCAGTTTGTGTACGGCAACATTGTTGAGAAATCTGCACTGTCAAAGCAGGTGATTCTTCTTGCTTTTTTGAAAAAAAATTATATGGATATTGAGAGGCTGAAATGTTGGAAATCAGCTTTTAGATTTCTTATGGCACTATATGTTATAGAAGAGTTGGGTTCTTATAATAAATAATAAATAACTGAACTTAATTGATCTCACACTGGAGAAATTTACATATGCATTTAACCCATCCCCAGCTTGGGGAGCAGAGGGCTGCCATCGTGGGGGAGCAAGGTGGGGTTAAGGGTCTTGCTCAGAGAACCAGAGTGGCAGTCTGTGGGAGTGGGGCTCAAACTCAGAGCCCCCCACTCCCACTTAAGATCTCTTAAGCACCTGGATTTAGGGAAACAGACTCTTCCTGTCAACACTGTTCCACTGACGTGGACAGGAAGTTCCGACCTGCCAATGCATCCTAATCATCTTAAAGCTTTGCTGTTTGAAATACCTGTTGGCACAAGAGAAACTGGAATTGGTCCGCTGGGTCCACTTCCACATTAAAACACAATGAGAAGAAGAAAAACAGTTTTCATGTCTGGTATTCGATAGCGTGAGAAGATGCAGGTTTACAAAACAAGGGCTGGGCATTCTGTACAACACTGCTATATCAGCTGTTATCACAATGCTGTGGGATAAGAGTTAAAAGTAAGCTGACTAACAACCTAAAGACCTCCAGTTCAGTATCTATTTAACTAAAATGTAATCTGAGTGGAGTGAAAGTTTATTACAGGGCACTTGTGTTGGACTGAGATAGAGATTTCTCTCATTTCACGGTATTTCAACACCATGAGAAATATTTGAGTCAGCAGATAGTCACAAGTCCATCTTCCGCAAAGGGAAGCTCAACTGAGGAGAAGGGGCACTTGTTTGATTGACAGCCCTGCACAATGTTTAACTCTAGAATTAAATGTTCAAGACAGAATGATTGGAGATCTAGAAAGAGCTTTGACCTAGATGGCCAAATTTATGTCACTATTAATAAAACATTTAGTTATACCACAAAAGTGAAATATGCCATTTTTTGTATTTGTTAAAATCTAAATTCACATTTAATCATGAGGGTATTTATTATTATCAGAAAGAGTGCTACTTGAAAAACTATTGATACTTCCTTTTCTTATGTTTTTTTTACATAAAAGCCACAAACCTTAATATATTTTTCTGTACTTCTGTGGGATAAGACACCACAAACCTCACTTTTCAGCATGGATATTGTGCATTTGAGGAAGGGATTCATTGAGACAGTGTTCTACTTCATGTTTCCGAAGTGTTGCAGCTGTGCCATCTCTTTCTAATTGCAGATGATGGATTAAGAAATGCTCTATAAAATATGTGAAGCTAGGAATCTTTAACTAACTTCAAAACTTTACCAAAACATTATTCCTAGCCTGTTTATTGTGTTCCTTTAGCTTTATGATCTTTATTAGGTTAATTTAAAAGAAATCTCTAAGCTCTCCAATTAATCACAGGTGGGCTCCTATTTGGTTACCATGGAAACGTTTGTTTTTTGACTTCTTCTGGGGATATCAGAGTAAAGGTTGAATAAAAATACCTGCAAAACTATTTAGACTTTATTTCTGTTAAACACTTTTTCTGTACCACTTTGTGACATTCAAGTACAATATTAGCAATATGCATTACATTGGGATTTATGTTTCTAATTCTAAAAATATGGAAATGTTTTAGCATCTATAGCATACCTTAGAATACTGTAAAGCACATACAATTTGATTTAGAGAGCGGTAATATTTCAATGGGTAACTCCAAACTGCTCCTTCTGAGACCTATTGCTGCCAATACAATACTGTTGTTTAAATATGTATCATAACATGTTTATCTCCTTTAGATTGCCAAGTTTGACACAAAGACGAAGACAATGCTGTACTGGAACGAAGAAAACTGCTGGCCTTCAGAGCCGATTTTTGTCCCCAGACCAAATGGAGAGTCAGAGGACGATGGTGGGTGTTCAGGAAACACATGTGAAGCTGGACAATAATGTTTGTTCACTTGTGTGCTTGTGATCTGTGTATGGACTTGGCACTAATTTCTACCTCATGTTTTTTTTTTTTTTTTTCATTAATTATTTTGCAATTTGCAGGAGTGGTCCTGTCGTCTGTCATCAACTCCAAACCAGGCCAGTCAAGTTTTCTTGTGATCCTCGATGGAAAAACGTTCAAGGAAGTTGCAAGAGCGTATGTCAACGCTGAGCTCTACAAGGACATGCATGGAATTTTCATTCCAAAGCAGAATTAATCGGCATAATACAAGCTTCCAGTTAACTAAACCCCACACATTTAACTGCTTGGATCGCCTAAATCTGCATAACCTCACAGGTCACTTTTATTTTTCATTTTCCATTGTGAGTCATTGTATCTCACTTCCCCTGTTACCATGTCAGCGTGTGTGCTGGGTTAGACCCTAAAACTGCAGAAAACTTATGTAATAATATTCTCTCAAGCAATATTTTATCAGTTCTATTTTTTAAAATGGAAGATATGTTATTTTTTTTTCATGGAACAAAGTTCCTCACGGAGCACATATATGTCTGCAATATTGTTATTATGTATGTGCATCTTATTCCATTAAAGACATTGTGAAAGTTTGGAGTTGTATTATTATATCATTATTATAATTGCAGCAAGAGAGAAAAGAAAGTAAAAACTAAAATCCATTTACACTACAAGTTGTAGCTGGACTTGTAATATTTTTGCTGTGACTCGCAGCACAAACCTGTAAATGAAAACCTTTATATTTAATCATTTCTCCAACTTCATGAAAAGCAATAAAGGTAACTTTTAAACTTTTTCATTCAGCAACTCTGGAACTTCCCTTCAAAGCATAACTAATGTCATAAGATTAGCTTTTACTCCACCCCTCCCTTAAAGCATTGCATCCGTTGACCTGCTTTTAAATGATTAACCTAGAAATGATAGCGAAGCTGTTACTTTTTTAATTACCAAATAGGACTAACAAAGATTTACTTCTTTTTCTTCAAATATTCACAATGTTGATGTATTTCTTTATATGCTAATAAGTTATACCTCTACAGAAAAAAAGGTTGATTAGCCAGTCCTTGGCCGGCTAAAGAAATAACTCATCTAAAACCCATTACAGAAACCATCTGGCTTTCAGGCTCAACCCAATAACAGATCTCCAGGTCTCTGAACAGCAGCACTGTTGACCTTGATACTCATATCTTTACTACCTGCATGGTTCCCCAAGGATCAGTACTAGGCCTTGACCTTTTCAAGCTTTTTTTTCTATAGTATGTTAATTTTCAGTCATCCTTAACTCTAAATTTTCCAGGATTTGGAAGATTTCTCTGAACTTACTACAATGAGAAAACAAAACAAACAAATTCAGTTTTTGTTTGCTATTTCACAGGAAAGATGGAAAATACAGTACCCAGAGTTAATTCACTTAAAAGACTGAAAAGTAATTAAGAAAATAACCAATGAAATTACATTTTGACATGGAGTTTTTTTTGTGACAAAATAAAGCAAACTAGCTTAATGCCAAACTTGACAACAAAGCATATTGGTTTGTTTCATTTATGTTGAAGGAATGCCTTTATATTTTTTAATGTCATAAATAAATCTATAGCAGCTATGCAATGATTTTGGAACACAGCTGCAGAAGTTTTAACACAGAGAATCAAAGAGTAGAGTGCTTCTCATAGCTGAGGCCCACTAGTGACTCACTGAATAAAATAAAGACTTAATGACAGAGAAGAGGCATCTTCTAAGTTATTAAAGCCCCCCCTTCACCATCCGGAGTCCTTAAAGCTACATTAGGGTATTTAATTCCAAATAGGATTTTTATCTTGTCTTATGTTTATTGTGAGTGAAGCTTATTTTGATTATTTTTACCTTGCGTTCATCCTTTATGTTGCCCTTATTATATCATAAGTGATCTTTTTATTATTGTTCTCTCTATAGTGTTTTATTTTTATATTACTTTTTTCTGTGAAGCCATCTGGAAACAGTAATGTCAAAAAGTAGTAAAATATAGATCCAAAAGAAACATCTATGTCAAATTCTTTTTTTCTTAATCCAAAATCAAATGAATCTCCTCATTCCAACAACTACCAAACTGCAATCAAAGCTCACAAAGAAGCAAAGGACATTTAAGCAGTTACCTGTAAGTCTAACAAAAGAGCTGCCATGTGAAAGAAGCACTGTTATCAACACAAACACTGATGTAAATCAATGTTGCTGATGTTAGTTTATCCATTAGAGTGAATGCTGATTCACTCCTCTTTTGAGTTTGATATCTGAATTAAGTACAACTTTTTATCTCTACCCAAACTTGGCTCCCTTGTTTGATTAGACAGTTTTTCTTGAAATCTTTATAATTGTTCAGGAAAAACAGCTAAAATTATTTGGCTGCCTCAATTAATGCACGGACGTCATCAATGGCCCATTATTTTCATTTCCTGTCAGCATAAATAAATAAGGCGGATACAGTGCTGTTCACTTTCTGTGCTGACATCAGCATACAAACATTCACTTTTATTGATTCATTTTGGATATTTTTCTATATTTCTTAGAGGGCGAGGTCATAAATAGCTTATTTCATGCTGTAACAATGAGCCATTGTTACCTGTATATTGGCCAAAGTAGCAGCTAAACACAGCATTTGTTTTTCTACATTGGTTTATTTTTGTTGTTTTGGGTGAAGTGGATTTGTTTGGGTTGTGGTTCTTTGGTTGGCCACATCTTGCTTTCATTTTTGTAAAAAGGTAAATTTAGTTCACTTTACAATATTTTGTTTTTGTTTAACTATTCATAAAAGGGAAATTCATGGATTAAGGAGTTAAAATATTGTGAAATACTCACCTCTGCTGTTTCACTCTCCCAAGCAGGAGCATACAGGATAATTGAAGGGGGGGAGGTTTATCTGATGTATGGTGTTTTCTATATTGAGTTTGAGTATTTGTTTTGATTGAATTAAAATATTTGTTTTCTGTATTTATTGGTAAAAGTATTTCTTAATTACTGTAGTTGTTTGTTTAAACCAAATTTTCATTTTCTTCTTATTGTGAAGCTGAGCATCCTTTTAAAAATGGTTTCTTCCAATTTTGTTCCTCCTCTTTATAAGAAACATGACTGCCATTGTTCTTGGTTGGTGTGGTTTGGTTGATGTCCTGCACCAGAAAAAATGAAAGTTTTGTAAGCTGAAAACTCTTCTTTCAACCAGGTTGGGTCCCACCTCCAAGACTGCTTGGCCTCCTGACAAGTATATGAAAGAAATTATAGTGCATGAGCTGGAATTGTTTGTATTTTTTTATTATTCAGGCTTACAAGCTTTACATTTAACAAACATGTTCACAAACCTCTATGCATTATCGGATACATTTTCTTTAGCAGGTTTCAGAAAAATCAGACACTTTAAGACACCAACAAGGCCATGGTATAACTCTGGCTGATTCCTTAGACAACTTTCTTTTTAATGGACATTAGTGGCGGTCAATAAATGTTCATTTTGGGCATAACCTTGTTAAAAATGCACTAAAGTTGCTTATGTCTGCATACTACCCTCCACTGACACACAAAGAGGAAACATGGATTACAGCTCATGTTCAACAGCGAGCCCATCATAGAAAACCAAAACAGTAAGTAGAAAACAGTTCAAACACGTCAAGCATTGTATCACTATAAATGCACAGCTATAAATGGACAAAGTATTTTATGCTGTTGTATCTCAAACAGTGTTTGTCATATGGCTCCTAATTAATTGCTGGTTCTGACCACCAGAGGGAGGCAGTGACCACGCCAGCTTCTGCACCGCCACACTTCTCCAGTTATTTTAAATTTCAAATCACAAGAGAAAATATGAAAGTGTCAAAGATGCTGTCAAGAAACTAGAAACATTTCAAAACAGTGGCAATGCAACAGTTCTGATCATTTAGAAAATCACATTACACCTGAGTTGCTGTACAAAATGATTCTGAATAATACCCTTGAATAATCTTAGAGAGGAGAAAATTATCAGACATTCAAATATCACTAAATAAATTCTTTTACATCATGGATTTAACAAAGACTTTGAGTGCATATTGAAATTTTCAGTTCATTTCAACAAAACAAAGAACTTTTACAGTTTTTTGGTTATTTTTCTTATTTTACTACGGAAAGGTTTAAGAGAGTGCAAGCCAATGGTGACTCCATCAAAATGAAAGAGTAAATCTTAATCCACCCATGATTGATCCGAGTGGCATCAGTAGTGCAATTTTTCCAAATGAGGCAGCAAAGAAGCAACCATGTAGACATGATGCATGGCAGTACTGTATGGAGATCAGCATTTTAGAGGGGATATGCTCCTCATACACATTAAAAGGTATAATTCTGCAGTAAGAAAAAAAATCACCAAGTAAAGATGTGTGTTTTAAGTGTTTCATCCAAATTTAATGGCAAAATAATATCCAAGAATTAACAAATCATTACTTATTTGTGCAAAATAATCCACCTGCAAATGATGGAGGAGATAGCTACATTACAAAATATTACTATAAGATATAAAAAAAAGAATCGGAAATCAGAAAAAAAATTCTCAACATGACTTCTAACCTGCTGTGTGCTTTAGAAAACTGTGGAGATTTAAATGCTACTTTCCACTGATTTAAAAGTGCATTAACTAATCATTATTTCCATCAGCTGCAGCCAATATTCCCAGAGGCAGATGGACTGAAAGAGAGTCAACAAAGCCGGTTAAGTAGCTAAACCAGATCTATGGCTCAAAGAAAAAAAGTACACATACAGAGAATTACTGAGAGAGCAAGGAAACAGCATCAGACGGAGAGCGTGTGTGCAGGCGTCTCAGGGCAGTGTTTTTAGTCCCTGGTCACATTTTCCTGGGAGTGGTTCGGATGCATGAATGCTGGTTGAGTCAAGGCAGAACAGGGAGAAGGGAGGCAAGCTTTAATTTATCCAAACATGAGACTCCCTTAACAAAAAAATCCCCTAATTAACCTGTTTTGTGTCTGTTTCCTTCCTTCTTTTACACTCAGGACTACAAACAGAATAGAAGGACCAGGCTTAGTTTACATCATGCTATACAAACATTAGATATCAAATCCAGTCTGTTTTTAACCAAGCACAAAATAGAAGCAGCAAGAATCATAGTTATTAACATAAGGGTGGCTGGACTGATGGTAAATGCTGGTGGGATGATGGCAATCAGGAGTTTTCTTGCATTTCTCTCTTGGTTCAAACCCCCAAGTATTATAGGATCATAGTGCATGGCATCCATTACCACTTAGGAGCCTTCAGCTTGAGCCTCCTCTTCTTTTGGTGAAGAGTCCTGGCCTTTTTCAGTCTCATCTTCCTTGTCACCTAGCAGACAGAAACAGGGAAAGCTAGATAAGGAGTTTCATGAGCAGAAAACATTTTCATCCCTATTATATTTTAGAGCTGACTTATCCAACCTGGGTGGAGCTGAGATAAAGTTATATCATGGAAAACATTAGGTTCTCTTAATGTTTTTGAGAGAATGAAGCTATGCACAGATACAGGCCTGTGACAGATGTTTGCTTTAAACAAAATAGGCGTTTTTTACACCGTGGGAGATGTTAAGATGTCTAAAGTTTTCGCACACAGACAACAAAATCTTGCATGCATGAATCGATTCATTGATTCCTTCCAAATGTATTACAGAAAGCTCGGTTTGACTTTACATTTCCGTTTCTTACCAGATTTGTTGATATTAAGCTGTGCTAGAGTTTGGGACAGGTCGGCTGCTCCCTGCACCCCCGCGCTTCCTGCGATCTCATGGATGGCGTTCCTGCGGCCAGATCGTCGAGAAGCGATGAAGTCCTCGTAGGTCGCCTCCACATCCGTCATCGCTCACACACCTCACCATAGCATTACCTTATCCACACACAAAGAGCGACAATTACTGCTAGATCAAAGGAGAGAAGTAAACACATGCAGCCTCTAAAGATGGAATAACAAAATTCAGAAAATCCTTGTCGATTTTCTTTAACAACTATGTGTGGATTAGGAGAAAGTGAAACACACTCAGGTGCTGGTTCAATACGCCTCTCTCTTCCCTATTAACTCACAATCTAATCCCTGATTAATCTATTCTAATCTCAGTCTAGGGTACAAAGAACTGTACAGAGATGGAAATGATACACTCCAGTGGGGGATGGGGTTATTGTTTAACCAATGCAGAGAGCAACTAAACAGGTAGTTAAGGAGGAGTCACCTTAGAATGGAGTAAGTAGAGATCTGTGTAGCTCTTAGATGTAGGTTAAAGCTCTCTGTTGACATTCCAGCTCTCTGTATTAATATAGCTGCAGGAGGCGGCTCTTTAGGAGCCTTAAGCTTTGTTTTTCCATTTCATCTGATTGACAGATGTCAATCTAATTTTTTTTTATTTTTAAATCAGATAAAAATAAAATTGAAATCCAGCATTCAAATCTCCACCCAAAAAGCTCATCATTTAGAACCAGATATATAAAAGAAAAGTTTCTGGAATATAAAGTAATAATGGAACTTTATTGATCTCACATTGGAGGAATTTACCTTTGCATTTAACCTATCCCCTTGGGGAGCAGTGGGGTGTAATTGTGCGACAACCAGGGAGCAATCAGGGGTGAAGGGCCTTGCTCAGAGAGCCAGATTGGCAGTCTGTGGGAGTGAGTTTCAGACTCACGACCTCAGGAACCCTCATTCACTTAAAAGTGTGATTTTGTATAAGATGCAGCAGGAAAGTCGCCTGGGCAGTGGGTGTTGACAGACCAGGCCCATCTCATCTGTCATTGTTCTAGCACACTCCTATTCAGCTGTTATTCTCAACACAGTTTCCAAATTGGCACAGCCTGACAGAGGCTGTGAAAATATGGAAGCCAGAGACGTAGCAGACGACATACAAAAAACAGCAAAGTCAGAAGGATCATTTCCTTTTAAAAACTGTGGGTTCCTGGAGGAAAAACTATAAATAACCAGATCTTTATTACTCTGTCTATAGCTTTCATTCCAACTA